ACTGGATGACGCCATTTCTCTGCTGAGTCATAGGCAAGGAGAGCAGATCCAAAGACCCTGCTGGGTCTGCTGCCCAGTGAAGCCTCAGACTTTGTCCTCAATACTGAAATGAACGCAAAGTCAGATAGGAGCTTCCTGATGCAGACGGCTACAGAGGCTGAGACAAAGGCATGGGACACACCAGACTGAAGTCATCATAGGGAATGTTTGGAGGCTCAAGCTAATTACGGACTACTTTATGACCTTGTAGGTTCAGTGCACAGGCACATAATTAGGCACAAAGGTCCGTGCCTTCCCGATCTCTAAGGACTTCCTGTCCTAGTGGAAGAAGATCACAGGAAAATAATTCTCCACAGAGTTTCTTCCCTTACTCGGGTGAACCTGGTGCGTCCTAATCACTCCTGTCATTTCTGTATTATTTCTAAAGGTCCGTCTACATTTATTTCATTTTGTAATCATGGAGACATAAAAACCTCACAGTTAAACCGCAGGAAGTATGCATTTCAACGACTTCAATTGCATTCACATTGCTTTGAAACACTAAAGAAAAAGTTCGTCCTACTATTTTCAGAGGAAGGGAATTTTTTTAAAAAATGCCCTTTACTTTTGACAAAAGAAGTAATTCTAATTGGATATTAGAAAAGACTCAAATATAAATTATTTTCCTCTAAGACCACAGGAGTAATTTCTGTGACATAAATAATTTGAAATAAATATACATCGATTCAGTTGTGTTACCTGTACCTTAATAAATTGGGTGGATTATAAGCAGAAAACACCACGTTTCCCTTTTCATGTGCGGTTTTAACCATTCTGTGAATCTGTGACCTCCTTCCTTGGAGAATTTAAGTTCTCACTCCTATTTCATTGTCTTTTTTTAAAACCATATGATGCATAGTGCATGACATTGTCTTTGCTGCAGTTCAAATTTGCATAGATACATATGTACTTGTTTAATATGTATAATCACGTGACATCACTGGCTGCTAAAGTAGACTCAGTGCACTTTGCTTATTTCTATGACCTAGAGATACTAAATTATGACAAATATATGTATTTATAAATCTTTTAGATATATATTGCATCCAACCTATTAATTCTAGGCAAAAAATATCTGGTGTGTAAACACTTATCTTTATTTGTGCCTGTTGTTCTGTATACACTAATGTACTGTAAATGCCATTTAATCATTTTCATGAATATAAATCCCCATACATATGATTGACCACTTCAGCACCAGGAAAAAAGCTCAAAACTCCAGATTTGAGTCTTAAGCTCCTTGTGCTTAGTTAGCAGATTTTCACTTCAAACTTTCTAGCTCATACACTGCAATGCACTTACTTTATCTACCTGGAGGCTACAGCTTTCACTGTGATTCAGTTAGGAGAAATGCAAACAGAAAATCTCAGATATCAGTGTAAACAGACCTGGGCTTCTACTTGATCTGTAAATGGAGGTCACACATTGTTTATAGGACTTTTGCAAAAAATCACTTCGACTTTACATAGAGAGAAAATGTTGGTCTCATTTTTCAGTACATTATATGGGAACATTTTTAAAACCTACTTGCTATACCCTCAACCAGAAATCTATGTATTAAAAATATCTTCACTTGAAGTTCTTTACACCAAATTTGCAGACCACTGCCTTGGGATATTTCCTGAACTTAGAAAACAATTCCTCAGCATTGACTTACTGTTAAAAATAGCCAGTACCTACATGAAAACATCAACATTTATTAATGTTTGCCTCAGAATTCATATTTTATGCTGATTTGAATTTTTAAAAAGTTTATACATTATACATATTTGATGCATCATACTGTCTTAAATAATTATCTACTAAACTTTAGTTTTTGACAGTTCTACATGATTGCATTTTCTTTCATACATGTCCCTAAAGGCAATGCACTTCAAAAACTGGGTGAGTAAACTTCACAGTCCATGCCCTCCTAACACTATAGGCTTTGGATCCCTAATCAGATTCTCAAAAATCTTATCTCAAATATACTTATATTTATTTAGTACCAATACACTCTTTTCTTAAGAAAATTACACTAAATTAGCTAATGCTCCTCTAAAAAGTATTCAATGTACCTACTGCTCTGAAATGTCCTAGTTTGTATGCGTGTGTAAATTCAAGTATGTCTGGGAAGTACTTAGGGCTACTTTCACTGTTGCTCAGATTTATCAGATGAAAGGTCATGATATAATTTTTTACTTTATTATTTATTACTTTATTATTTTGATTATTTGCTTTATTACCTTTACTTTATTATTATTTTTAGTATTATCCTTTCAGTATTGTTGTTTCTCTCTTCATTTTATGCAAGTGAAAATTTCCAGACACTATGTGAGTGGAGGGTGTTTGTTTTAACTGCAATATGTGATGTACACTAAATATAACTATCACTATTTTTCCCCAAAGTATTTGTCCTAGAAAATATATATTACTCTTATGGTCTTGTTTCAAAAATTTCCCCACTGTATCGTCTAGTACTAATCCTTGCATCATTACTGATCAAGATATTCCAATTTACATTAGAGGAGACTCACAAGGGGGATGAAAGTGGGGAAATTAATCTGTAAGAACTACGGTGTTTACCTGGTAATAAATGTACAATGTATTTAGACATATGCAGTACTTCTCTGTACTCTGTACTCTGTACTCCTCAGTAGAATTATGTAAACTATCTCCCATTTTCACCACATGTGGATACCTAAATGAATTTTGGAAGTCAATGCTTTCGTTGCTGTATGTTTCCTTTTACAAAAAAAAGAACACTCTACACTACTAGAAATTTTATTGTAATGGGGCACTGGAGCTTGTGATGATGTCAGATGCTAATATACGTCTCAGACACATTTATATTACATCCTTTTCTTTATGTATATAGTTTTTGTATCCATGAACATCATTGCTATGATCTCTGAAAAACTGCCCACTTATCATGAGGAAAAAAAGCCCACTCCCTGTTTCGTAAAGATTTTGGTTGTTAATTACTCCTATGTGCCAAGATAGAGATAACAACTGGGGAGTCAGAAATCCATTCCATCTAAATACATGCGGATATTTGCAGGAAGGAAATACAACATTATGTAAAAAAGGAAATTAAAACTTGGGATACCAGAATATATCATCTCAATGTCATAAATTTCATTGTTCTCATTTGTTCTACTGATGATAGCTACTTTGAATTTTAGCCATGTATCACATTACAGTCATTACGTGTTCATAATCGGTGGAGCATCCATTAGATGTTTCATCCATGCTTAACACGGCCGTAGAAGCTAATAATGAACTCAGATATCCAGGACTTTACATACTAGTAAGAGGTAGGGAGAACATTCCAAATTAAATCATCAGCCTGTGTCTCCCACATCATAATGGCTCCAGGTGACAATGTTATATCTACAGCGTGGATATATGTGGGAAAATTAAACTCTATTCAGTTTTAGGGGTAGGAGAGAAATCAACCTGGCTCGATTTCCCTCATACACAATGAGAAGGATGATTTATAAGAAAGGAGCAGGTTGTGGACAGCTTCAAGGAAAACAGGGAGTTGGGAGGGAGCAGGGATGAGATCACAATTAGATGTTGTAGACCTTTTCCATCTTTGATCTCTACTTCTAGAGTCAGATATTCTTTCTGAAGTGGATGAAGCACCTTTAACCCTTCTCTCCACAGTGATCGCCTTGAGACTGAGAAGGGTAAAATAGAGTAAGAAATCGGTCCTTCCTGGAGGGACAGGAAAGAGAAATGGGTGCTTGGTTTGTCAAAGGAAATATATGCTAGGATTTTCCTGGTAATGCCCTGTGCCTGTGGTCGAACTTGTATTTTATTACATATAAATGCAGTTCCCCTATTTCGTTTTAAAAAATAATAATATAGTACTTAGAAATAGTGTACACATATATTGAATCAAATTGTGTAGAAATCAGAACTGAGATGCTGCTATTAATGTGATCTGCAGTTATTGTCTCATGATGTGGTGGTCATTTTTCACCATCCTCCTCCTCTCCACCATAATTCTTTGGAGATGCTGAGGAAACAGCTTCCTGACACCCATACTGTGTTACCAGGGCTTCGATGTCTGTGAGGATGAGGGCCAGCGTAATAATCACGGACGTATATCTCACAGGCCTCTCAGCTGAAAGTGAGCACGGTTATCAGGGCCTCTCACTGCCCAAAAGTCTTCATGATGGGAACTAACGTTTCCAACAGTCCTGCATCCACCAGGTATTGTTTAATCAGGCAGTGCGACTGCTACGGAACATCCAGACATGGCTCACACCCCTCATCTCCCTGAGGACCGGAGAAAGCTCAGCTGATAGATTTATTATGGACAATGTCAAATGTCAGCTTCCAGTGTTAGGTAAACATGAGAGAAGAGATACCACGGGATAGTAAAAAATAAACTCTAAAAGAATAGACCGGTTATGTCAAATCACATAACCTTGAAATCTCCATGCACACAGCTTACAATGATCCACATCGGTCCATAGGATCTCAGGCTTTGAAATGCCTGAAATTCAATAGAAGTTAAAAAAATTAATGTCGCAAAAACTTGGGGCTCTTCCTTTACACAGAAGAAATCTCAAGAGTATAATTGTTTTTAATATTATTTTTCAATTTTTAAACCAATTCCTGAGCTTTTTATCTCTATTGTTCACTATGGAAAGATACACATATCTAAAGGTGCAGTTTTGAGCAATTTTAGGTACAGAGATTGCATACATACATCATAATAGTTTTTTTACAACTGTCAGTTTTACCCACATCTAGAAATTTTTCACTTCCCCAATTTGAAGCACCATGAAGAACTAAATACTACCACTCAAACACACATCACTCTGTAATGAAACATCATATTACAGTTAAAGACATCAAGCTTCAGAAACAATCAAAACAAGGAGAAAGAATTGACAAAGAAGTTTCAGATTTTATTTCTATACCACATTTTCAAAACTCTTTCTAAATGAATGGAAAAGGCCCTGGGATTAGATTTTGCAATGGTGGAGCCTCTTCACACTGCTGCGGATGTCCCTGTTCCTCAGGCTGTAGATGAAGGGATTCAGTATCGGGGTGACCACAGTGTACATCAGTGAGGCCACCATGCCCTTCCTGGGAGAATATGATGCAAGTGAACCAAGATACGTTCCAAGGCCTGTTCCATAAAACAAGCAAACAACAGACAGGTGAGAACCGCAGGTAGAAAAGACTTTGTACCTCCCCCCAGATGATGGGATTTTCAGAAGGGCAGAAACAATTTTATAGTAGGAGAAAATGATCCCTGACATGGGAAAAAAACCAAATAGGGTACCAAGCACATATGGGACTATGTTTTTTATTAAGGTATCTGAACATGAAAGGTCAAGCAGTTGAGAAGGGTCACAAAAGAAACTAGCAATTTCCACATCTTTGAAACAGGTAACTTGTAAGGTAGTTAAATAGTGTACCAGGGAATTCAAAAGGCCAAGAAAGACTGACAGCAAAAGTAAGAAGACACAGATGCAAGGGCTCATAATGACTGCATAATGCAGGGGATAACAGATGGCCACAAAGCGGTCATAGGCCATCACCGTCAGAAGTGTGTTGTCCATACATGCAAAAAGGATAAAGAGCGACATCTGTGTGAGGCAGCCCCCATAGGAGATGACCCTGCTTTGAGTTGAGATGTCCACAATCATCTTTGGGACTGTGGAGGAGGTGAAACAGATGTCAGTGAAGGACAGGTTGGAGAGGAAGAAGTACATGGGGGTGTGGAGGTGGGAGTCAGAGCCAATGGCCAGGATGATGAGCAGGTTCCCGAGCACTGTGACCAGGTACATGGACAGGAACAGTCCAAAGAGGACGGGCTGCAGGGCTGGGTCCTCTCAGAAGCACATGAAGTAGAACTCTGAGACATATGTGAGATTATGTCTTTGCATGTTGCTTGAGCACCTTTAAATAAATTTCATCTAAAAAATGAAACAAAAAATATCACACATGATCTGAGGTCAGGTATTCATAAGCAAGGAATCCTCAGCAGAAATTCAGTCTTCAGTAGCATTTTTCTCTTTTGATGAAGCCACTATCCAGAACTGAGTTGTGGGTGGTTCGTTTACTACCTCCCCTGCATACTCCTTCATTATGGATGCTCTACTGCACAGAATAAGCAGACCACGGAGAGAGAATTCAGAAGTCCTTGATAACACTAAACTGTGGAAAATTTTTTTTCCAAAAACTGTAGAGTGAAGTTAATATTATTCTATTGGAATAAAATTGAAAAGCATTGCAATATTCCACATCTTATAGTCATAACAAGCTACAAGTTTCCTTCTTTAGGCTGTCTACAAATACAACAAAGTCTCGGCTACATTATTTAAAAATTGAAGTCAATTCTCTTCAATCAGAACACTTTGTTTTGAGCCACTGTGCTAAAAATAATGAACTTTTCATTTTTCTTTGTTGTTTTTTTCTGATTGCTACTTTTCAGTATGTAAGAGCTTCCCCAGCCCTTGTACATAAAATGTGTACTATGTGAATAAATTACTCAATATGGAACTTTTATCCTTGTCTTTATTGCATTCAAATTTATACATCACAGGTTGAGATACAAGCATATGATCTTTGGTCATAATTAGATTCGTGTACACTGCTTTGGTCAATAAAAATCAATGATGAAAAGCACCTTTGAATTTTTAAAATTTTAACAGGTGTATTTAATCATACAATATCAATAGAATATCTGCTATTTAAGATAACTTTTTCTTTTCTTTTCTTTTCTTTTCTTTTTTCTTTTTTCTTTGGTATTGGGAATTGAACTCGAGTCCTTGCGCTTGCAAGGCAGGCCACCGAACCGCTGAGCTAAATCCCCAGCCCCAACTTATAAATATTTAATCACATTACATCATTAATCTTCTTCAAACATCTGAAAAATTACCCCAAATTTGCATCTTTTCTCTCATTTCTCTTGCTCCCCTGTCCCCAAAGGAATCTGTCATCCACAATTCTATGGGTAGATTTTCTTGTCAATGTTTTCAGTCCCACACTGATTTATGAATCCACAAGCAATTTTCTTAAAAATTTACCTAAAAGCATAAAAAAACTCATCTGAATGGTGTGTTTCAGAAATATACCCCCCACAAATCGACTAGAAAATGTCCACAAGTAGCGGATTTAGTTCCTCTTCGACCAGTTCACAGCCCTACCAGAGCAGAGGGCGAGGGATCGAGGGAGGGAGAGCGAGGCCTCAATTACCTTGTAAATTAATTATTATGATAACATTTTGAAAATGCTTGTCCTTCTGTCCCTCTCTCATCTTAAAATAGTTATATATTATACTGCATTTGTAGCCTATACAGTAAATGTATGTTTCTGATTCCCAACAAATAACACGTGTAAAATCTCAATTTTTTTCCCAAAAGCAGTGACCCATTTTTACCTGTATCCTCATACTTATCAGATAAACTTGCAAAATATGCCTGCCGTCTTCTCAGGAATGATCTCTTTAGGGTACCACACACAAAGCAATTTCATCGTCACATGAGCAGTGGCATTTCAATTTTGCTTCAGTGGTTGTGCCTGTGACAAGGGATGGCACGGAAGAAATCAGCGTGTTAGTTAGGTGTCACCGGCCTGGTACCAAGGGCTGAAAGTGTGAATCTCTCTTCCTCACTGTGCTCCTAATGCTTGGGGGAAATAAGGAGAGTAACTGTCATCCTCATGTGTGGCAACGAAAGGCATTTAGAACCTAACTATGTAGCAGTTGTGTGATGTATTAGTCTTGATTGCATTTACTTCTGCCGTGGCCTTCCTGCCTTGTGTGAGCTTTAGATTTGATTTGTTCTTCTCTCCTAGAAGTTTGAGGCTCACCATCGTGTTGTTTATATGAGCTTGCTCTTCTTCCCTACTATGAGAGTTTGTGGCTATACATTTTCCTTCTACGACTGCTTTCGTTGCTTCCCATGACTGAGATTTTGGTTTTAAAATGATGATGTACACCATTAAGCCAGTAGGAAGTTTAATAGGTATTGTAAATTGCATTCCAATGGCATTGGAGCCAGAAACTATATGAAGTTTTTCTCTTTGTAATTTAAAAAAGAAGCACATGAATATCTATGTTGTGTTTTAATGTAAGATAACTTATGGAGATGTAATTAAGTGGATTATAGGGTCCGTGTGTCCTTGACACAGAGAAAAAAGAAAAAGCTATAGGGTGTTGTCTTTACACCTGTGGGGTCTTTGTGAGTGGAATTGCAAGACAGTAAGGTACCGAGGATCTTCAAGTCATTATCATTAAGGACAAGTATGGTGACTGAGGAAAGGTTCCGTCAGATTCAGGTTTTTATTTTTGATGTCTCCTTTGGGCCACATAAGCTATAAGTCTGGAAAATGAGCTGTAAACTAAAGTACATCATTCCTCATGTGTATAATCACACAAACACAAAATGTCCTGCAGCAGAAATAGAAAAGCAGTACTACAGGACCAAGGAGATAAATGGTAGGGATATACATACCACTGATAGCAATGATAGCTACATTTCAATTTGCACTAATTTTATACACATTAACCCTAAATAGAGCACTCCTTATCTGCATAATCCTTATGCAGTTGCTGGAAGTAAAATTTAACTTGAATGACAACGTTCTCTCAGAGATACTAACAGTCCTCCCCGCATCACAGAAATAATAAGCGGAGCTGAAGGATTAAGAAATAAATTCACAGGTCAATCTGATACACTGAGAGCCTTCCCTGCTTCCAATGCACAGAAAGATTTATGCAGAGGTTCAGAGCTGATAATCATAGGTGCTTTAGAGGCACATCTGTGGCTCTCTTATTTCCTCAAGAAATGAAAATCAAAGGAAATCAAGGCAAGAACTTTCCATGTTTGTGCTGGAAAACAAGTGCAAGCATGGAGAAGAATGTGGGAATCTCAAAAATATCCTACAGTGGTGTCAGGAGAGAAATCCGAATGCTCAAGGGAGTGCTGTCTCAGATCTTTGCCCGTCATCCACATCTGTCTTTGGTGGACACAGCTGGGATCACTCACTGCTCTGCCCTGTGAGCTTGCAGAAAACTCCAACAGCAAGGGGACAATCGTCAAGGTGCCTCTCTTGAAGTGACAGAGAATTAATGTTCTGCTGTTGCTAGGAGGCAACCTAACAGAATTATCCTGTGTCTGTAACCAGACAAGCCAATTCCACCTACTTATTTTTACATATAACAACCTAATGAAGGTTTCATTATAATGACAGAGGCTTCCATTTTTTAGCAAGCAATAACAGTGTAAGCAAATATAACTCCAGGAAGATATATAAAATGAAATAAAACAGACAAATGGAAGAAATTTTCAGTTCCTGGAAGACAGGAATCCCTCCAAACCAGTTCCTGATGTCATGGTTATTGTTTTCCTGTATATCCTGATCACCTTTATAATTCCTTTAGAGCTCTCAGGAAACCCTGCAGAAGAGCAATCTCTCTGCTGTTATGAGGGTGACATCAATGGAAGTAGAAACAAGACATACAGAGCGCAAATCTGAAATAATAATTCTTCTTTCCCAACTACACCCGAGATCATAAAATCTATGCTCCTTATAACTGATATGTTTCCTATTTGTACCTTCGTGAGACTATTGAAAATACCTTGCTCCTCCTCAGAATGAGGCAATAATAGCTTTAAGAATCCTTTTCATGTCAATGAATTTTCTTTGCACTTACTGGGTGATGAAGTTTCTAGCTGGGTCATAGTCAAGGAGAGCGGATCCAAAGACCCTCTTACGTCTGCTGCCCAGTGAAGGTTCCGTCTCTGCCTTTGGGATTGCAATTTATACAGACACACACAGGAGCCTCCTAATACAGACGGCAGAGCTTGGGACACAGGCGCAGAACTGGACACAGGATGGGAGTCACTAAAGGACTGGAGGCTGATTATCAACCGCTCTGTGACCTTGGGATCTCAGCACACAGAGGAAACTCATAATTAGCCAAATTGGTCCACGCCATCCCAGTCTCTAAGGTCTTCCTAACACTAACGGAAGAAACAGGGTTTGACACCCACTCAGATAAAGCTACTTTGCCCTAATCACTTCTGTCATTTATAAACAATGTGAAAAATGCAGACTTGCCTTTATTTTACTTTTGAAGTAAAAAGCTCATAGCACAATTAATACACTTTTCACGAAACATACTCGATCAGTGTACACTTCAATCACTTTAATGTTCTTGCAGGTCACTCTACATCATGTGTCCGGGACATTTTGTTTTGCAAGCTGAAAATTTACGCTCAACTTTAGAGTTCCCTCTTCATCTTCCCCGGATCACCATATGAAGTTAAGGCCAGTAAAGTATTCTAACACAACCAAACAGTATGGAGGTCTTGAGGTTCTGCTCTGGTCTCCCCAGGGTACTTTTCTTTACTTGGTTGCTCAGGCTATGAAGGGATTCAGTAAAGGTGTTGGCATAGTACACGACTTTGCAGCTGTCACATTTCTGGTGAAATTCAAGTTGAATCGACGTATACTCTAATGCCTATTCCACAAAACAAGCAAACAACTGACAGTCGCAACTCAAACGTAGAAAAGATATGATTTTTTTCAATCAGATGATGGTTTTCAGATCATGCAACAAATTTTAATATGAGAAAACCATCCACAAGTTTAAGTGACAAGAGAACATAGCAGAGTCGATAGATCACTTCGGTACTGAGAAATTTGCAAGTAGATATATATTAAGGAAGAGAGCAGGGTACATAACAAATTAGGAACCACTGAAGTAGGTAAGATTTAGGGTAATAAAATTATGCTTAGAGAAGTGTAAAAGACAAGCAAAATTAAAAATCAACACTGGGACTCCACAAAGGCAGTGGTTCTTAATGGCTGACACACTCAATGTGCTGCAGAGGTCCACAAACTGGTCAAACTGGTCAGGGCACCACAGTCAGGATGG